GAGGACAAGCGGGTTGTTCACCGCCGGCGCGACGATACGCCTCGCAACAACACCTCCAACACACCTCCAACATACCGTCGACACACCTCCAACGTTCACCCATCTTACCTCGGAGACCCCTGACGCCGCTGTACCACGACACGCCCACGACACGCACACGACACGCACACGACACGCACACGACACGCACACGACACGCACACGACACGCACACGACACGCACACGACACGCACACGACACGCACACGACACACCCACGACACGCCCACGACACGCCCACGACACGCCCGAGACACGCCCACGACACGCCCACGACACGCCCGAGACACGCCCACGACACGCACACGACACGCCCACGACACGCCCACGACACGCACACGACACGCACACGACACGTCCACGACACGCCCACGACACGTCCACGACACACCCACGACACGCACACGACACGTCCACGACACACCCACGACACGCACACGACACGCACACGACACGCCCGACACGCACACGACTGTTGCGTTGCAGGTACGCCGCCGCCGCAGGGCCAGAGACGCGGCTGCCCACTCTTGTCGGGTATGACCTGAACGAGTGCTGGAGGGGCTGGCTGTGAACAGCGTCTCTTCACACCTCTAGCTGTGAACAGGTGGGACCTGAACGAGTGCGAGCACGCGTCGCTGCTCGACCACCTCGAGGCCCGAGACACCCCTCTGAGACGCCTCCGAGACACCTCCGAGACACTTCCGAGACACCTCCGAGACACCTCCAAGACACCTCCGAGACACCTCCGAGACAGCTCCGAGACACCTCCGAGACATCCTCCCATCTCACCTCCCACCTCCCCTCCCCTCCCACCTCCTGAAGGCCCAACGGACGCCCAGCGGAGCACAGCTTCACACGCTCCCGACACGTCCCTCACGCGCTCCCGACACGTCCGATTCAGGCAGAGCACGGCTTCGAGCGCGGCCCGCCCACCCTCTTCATCTCCGAGGCGGTCATGTTTTACGTCAACCCCGCCGCCATCGCGGCGCTCTACGACGACCTCTTCACCTACGGCAAGCAGGCCGGCGAGGCGCAGTACTCGTTCACCGACTCGATGCGGCCGTTTGTGCAGGGGCCCTTCTCCGACGAGGCGACCCGCTTCTTCGGCCGCGAGGGCGTCGACCTGCTCTGCCACACCGCGCGCTGGTCGGGCGCGGTCCAGTTCGCGCACGCCGTCGCCCGCACGCCGGCGGCGGCGCTCGCGCGCGGCTCGCGCGCGGCGGGCTGTTCGCTGCGGGAGCACGTGTCGCCTCTGGTGGAGGCGCCGGTGACGTCGTATGCGCCGGAGCGCGCGTGGCGCCCTCCCGACGCGCCCGCCTCCTTCAACAACTCGTGGTACGCCGTGGCCTTCTCGTCCGAGCTGCAAGACGCGGCGCCGTACGCGACGCGGCTGTTCGGCGAGCCGCTCGCCCTCACGCGCCACCCGGCCGGCGGAGCGGTGCGCTGCGCCGGGCCAGACTCGCTCGCGGCTGAGTACGTGGTCGTGGAGCACCAGGGCCTCGTCTGGGTGTGGCGTGGAGACCCCGCCTCGGCCGACCACCGCATGCTGCCCACGCACCCGGCCCCAGAGGCGACGCACGCGGTGGAGACCATCCTCGACTACGGGTGCGACTGGAAGTACATCGTCGAGGTGAGAGACGGGGAGATATGGGGAGATGAGGGGAGATACGGGGAGATGAGGGGAGATATGGGGTGATAGAGGCATGCATCACAATGAGCCGATTTTGACGCAGAACAACCTCGACACGCCGCACCTCTACTGGCTGCACGACGGCTCCATCCCGCCCATCGAGTCGCTCGGCTGCAACCGCGCAAACATCGGCTCGATCGGGCTGCGCTTCTTCGCCGACGACGTCGGAGTGGGGCACATCGGAAAGACATCCAAGAAGGTGACCAAGGTTGTGCGGTACGACGCGCCACATCTCCCACCTCTCCCCCTCTCTCCCATCTCTCAGGTGACCAAGGTTGTGCGGTACGACGCGCCGAACGTGGTGCGTCACGGCGGCGTCTCTGGCTTCTCGGAGGAGTTCAACATTGTCCCGCTCGGTCCGCACCGCACGCGCGTGCTGCTCCGGCAGCGCTTCCCGAAGGGGCCGATCCTCTCCACGCTGCTGCGCGTGCCGGGCACCGCGCCGGTGCTGCAGTACCTGGTGCGCAACTGGAACTACCAGATCGGTCTCGAGGACTATTGCGTGATGCAGGGCCAGGCGCACAACATCGACGACTTTGGCGCGCTTCCTTAGACGCCTCCCCGACACCTCCCCGACACCTCCCCGACACCTCCCCGACACCTCCTAGACACCTCCCCGACACCTCCCCGACACCTCCTAGACACCCCCTAGACGCTTCGTCTTATGCCAGGCGCCCCGAACTGGAGGGCCACCTCGTCGGGCGACGACCTCATCGTCCGCTTTTGGCGGTGGGTCGCGGCGGCCCGCGAGGCGGACGGCGCCACGTCAGAGTACTTTGTGCGGTGGGACGGCGCGCGTGTCTTCGCGGCGTGCGATTTCTTTTTGCCACGTGTTTTCTTCTTTTTGTAGGTGGGACGGCTCGCGTGTCGACGAGGCGGCGGCCGCCGCCGCGGCGCAGCCTCTGTCCGCGGCGGCCGCGCCGTCGCACGCGGACGCATCGCTGACCACGGAGGAGGAGATGAGCAGCTTGGCGGAGCGGTACACCGCGGCGGTGCCGGTGGCGCAGTACCCGCCGATCAACCACGCGCTCTACTCGCGGCAGCAGACCCTCGCCAACCTCTTCGAACGGGTCGGCGACGCGATGCCGCAGGTTGGCGTCGCGTCGGCCGTCGGCGCGGCGGGCGGGCTGGTCACGGCAGCCGGCGCCGCCACGCACGCAAACAGCGAGGGCATGTCCTCGCTCCTCGTCGCCGCCGCCGACCTAGCAAACGGCGTCTTTACCCTCCCCGCGTAGCGAGGGGCGCGGCGACGCCCCTCGCCGAATGCATTCACGAGACATCTACGTGCCTCCTCCGGGAGTGTGAGGCATGGCTGGGGTTGGAACAGACAGTCGTCAGTCGCTCTAGACTTGGACGGACGTTGGCTGTAGCCGATTCGACGCGCATGCCGTATGTAGTGTGCCGACGAGTATATCGTGTGTCGTGCAGTCTTGTCAGTGACTCTCGCCCATGCTCGTGTCCACAGAGGTATGAAGTATGTGCGCTCGAGTATGTGCGCCCATGTGTACCCGTGTCCGCATGTGCCATGTCTTCACATGCTGATTTTAGAAGGCGCCAGTCCCCGGCCGGAACGCAGAAGGAGAAAGCCCCTCATGGCCTCAACAGTCACCTCTCTCGCGGCGGTGGAAAAGGATTTTTATCGGTCGACGGTCGACACACCGACAACCACACGTAGGTGTGTGGTAAGACCCATCACCCAAGACACTCAGCCAACACGGGGTGCAGAGCAATACCAAACCGAAAAAGAATTTAAACCAATTTTACGGAAAGTGCCTGCCTCGCCCATCCCTGGTCTGGCCGGTTTCTTTCGCGGTACCCGCGGCGGGATAGGGCGGGATAGGCCGCGGGATAGGGCGGGATATATGGCGGGATATGGCGGGATACCGGGAGATACACGCGGATATATGATGAGATACGGAGCCCCCATGATGTGTTCACGACAACGTCCGTGAAGCGTGAAACCGCAACTCCCCGCAAATCGGACGCGACGGGCGAACTTTGCGCTTCGGACGGCCTCGCTTGTTGAGCGCTTGTCGATTCCCATGATTGGCGAGAGCTCGTCATCGATCTAAGTTCTTTTTTGTTTGCTCGCGCGCCACGCGTCGCTCCGCGAGGGCGCGCGCCAACCGCGATTCGAACCGGCGCGACGCGATGCGCCGATGCCGATATCACACTTGGGCGGGACGCACGACGCCCCAACCGAGGACCCGGCGGGCGAGGCTGGCTCTGCGCGCACAGAGCTGATGCCGCTGGCACCGCGCACCGAAGCGCTCGCGGCGTCCGAGCCGGGGCGGGCGGCATCCGAGCTCGAAGGGGCAGCGGTCACGACAGAGGCGGAGGGCTTGCGCTTGCACCTCTCTAACAGCAACAGCACCGGGTACAGGGGCGTGCACAAGCACTCTGGTCGATTCCGAGCGCAGCACAGGGTGAACGGAAGGATTGTGTACCTCGGCTACTTCGACACGGCGGTGGAGGCGGCGGTGGCGTACGCGCGGTCGGTCGGCGAGTACCAACCTCCGACGCAACCTCCCCCGTCGGTGGCGGCAGAGGCGGAGGGCGTGCGGCTGCACCTCTCCAGCAGCAGCAGCACCGGTTACTTAGGCGTGTGGGAGGAGGCCTCTGGCCGCTTCCGGGCGCAGCACAGGGTGGACGGAATGCATGCCGGCCTCGGCAGCTTCCACACGGCGGTGGAGGCGGCGGTGGCCGTTGCGCGGGCCATTAGCGAGGCTTCGGCAGTGGCGACCTCAGCACCCGAGAGCGCGCCGCCCTCCGAGCTTGCCGACGAGACGATCTGCGCCCGCACTCAAGAGCGCGGCAGCGGCGCCATTGGGTGCGTCCTGCCTGCCGGCCACGCCGGGCCGCACTCCTTCACTCTGCAGGGCAAGCGGGCTCGCTGCGTGAAGTGCCCGTTCGACCCGACCGATGTCGAGGCGGAGGAGAGCGGCGAGTGCGCTTCGACGCAGGCCGGCGACGATTCGGAGTCGGAGGTGGAGGCAACGGCCGGAATGGCGGCGCCAGCAGGCTCGGAGGCCACGTCTAGCCAGGAGGCTCCGGTGGCGGAGGCGGAGAGCTTGCGCTTGCACCCCTCCAGCTGCAGCAGCAGCACCGGGTACAAGGGCGTATTCAAGCAGGCCTCTGGCCGCTTCCTCGCGGAGCGCAGGTTGGACGGACGACGGGTATCCCTCGGCACCTTCGACTCGGCGGTGGAGGCGGCGGTGGCGTACGCGCGGGCGGTCGGCGAGTACCAGCCTCCGACAGTGGCCGCTGAGGCGGAGGGCATGCGCTTGCACCTGTCGAGCAGCAACAACACCGGGTACAGGGGCGTGTGCGAGCTCGCCTATGGCCGCTTCCGGGCGCAGCACAGAGTGGATGGAAGGCAGGACGTACTCGGCTACTTCGACACGGCGGTGGAGGCGGCGGCGTCGTACGCGCGGGCGGTCGTCGAGGCAGCGGTGCCGGGAGAGGCTGCAGCGGCGGCTGGCGAGGCGTCCGATTCGGGCGAGGGCGAGCCAGGCGGCGCTGGCGGCGAAGCTGCAGCCGCCGAGAGCAGCGGCACGGGCGAGGCGGCATCCTGCCTCTGGGTCGCTTGCGACCGTTGCGACAAGTGGCGGCGGTTGCCTAGCAGCATGCCCGGCCAACTGCCTGCCGAGTGGTTATGCTGGATGCACCCGGACCCGGCGTGCCGGGTGTGCGAGGCGTCGGAGGAGGAACTTGGGCTGGGGCGGGCTCAAGCTGAGCGCCAAGCGGCAGCGGTGGTGGCGGAGGCGGAGGGGTTGCGCTTGCACCTCTCCAGCAGCAGTACGGGCTACAAGGGCGTGTATGAGCAGTCTGGCCGCTTCCAGGCGAAGCACAGGGTGGACGGCAGGCTGGCTCACCTCGGCACCTTCGACACCGCGGTCGAGGCGGCGGTTGCGTATGCGCGGGCGGTCGGCGAGTATCAACCTCCGACAGTAGCTGCGGCGGAGGCGGAGGGCTTGCAGCTGCACCTCTCTAGCAGCAACGCCACCGGCTACAAGGGCGTGTTCAAGGATGGCGCGCGTTTCAAGGCGCAGCACAGGGTGGACGGCAGGATGGTCTTCGACACGGCGGTGGAGGCGGCGGTGGCCTATGCGCGGGCAGTTGGGCAGGCGGCGGCGGCAGGAGTGGCAGGGTCATCGGCAGCGGCGGCGGGCGAGGCGTCCGGCTCGGGCGAGGGCGAGCAAGGCGGCGCTGGCGGCGAGGCTGCAGACGCCGAGGGCAGCAGCGACGAGGAGGAGGCAGCCTCTTGCCTCTGGGTTGCTTGCGACCGCTGCGACAAGTGGCGGCGGCTGCCTAGCGGCATGCCAGGCTCGCTCACTGCCGAGTGGTTCTGCTGGATGCACCCGCCACAATCGGCCTAAAAACCCAGCCCAGTATGAGGTGTTATGAGGTGTTATGAGGTGTTATGAGGTGTTACGTAAAATGTGAAAAAAGTCGTGAGTCGCATGCCAGCCCACAGAAAGACACACAATAAACGCAAATATGGACAATACAGTATCACCGACGGGAATGTGGACTGTGCCGCAAATGTACCATCCATGTTAGCCCAGCCCAATTGGCCAAGAGTAACGTACGCACAGTTTTCTATCAGCCCAGCCCGAGCGGGTCCCGCGCCGCCCGCGCCGCCCGCGTGCGCTGCCGCTTGGCGTTGGAGCGCTGCGTGTGCCACTCGGCGCTGCCGGCGTGCGCGTTGCAGTGCGCCGGCGCCCTCGGCTCGCCGCCCCGCCAGTGGCGGCACGCGGACACGGGCGCGTCGCACGCGAAGCAGTAGCAGTTGGGGCAGGCCGCCTCGTTGCCTTCGACCGGCGCCGCGACCGGCCTCTCCGCCGCATGGAAGGGGTGGAGTGGGCAGAACGCACGCTGGTGCGGCAGGTGCTCGGGTAGCAAGCCTGTGCGGCGCAAGCAAGGTGGGCAGTGAGAGTGCATCCGACAGTACTCGTGCCGGGGGTGGCTTGGGAGCGCCTGATGCTGCGGAGATCTGCACGTCGCCGCCTGCGAGCGAAGGAGCGGCGGCGGCGGGGCTTTGAGGCGGCGGCGCCACCTCCTCCACCCCGTCGTCGCTCATCGCCTCCGCCTCCGCCTCCGACGCCTCCGACTTCTCCTGCTCCGCCTCCACTTCCACCTCATCGTTCTCTCCCTCCTCCCCCGCCGCCTCGCGTTGAACGCTCGCGTCGGGCGCCGAAGGCGCGGCGTCGCTCGAGGAGGATGGCTGCGCGCCGTCATCGCCGCCGCCGCCGCCGCCGCCGCCGCCGCCGCCGCCGCCCGCGCCCTTGCCTCGCTTCGCCTCCCGCGCCTTGTCGGTGAGAACCCGCGCCCGCTTGCCTGTGACGGCGGTGCTGCAGGGCCCCTCGTGCCAGAGGCGGAGGTTGCAGCCGAGCGTCTTGCAGCTCGGAGCGCGGAGGGGCGGCGAGGTAGCCTCCTCCTCCTCGCCGCTGCTCTCGGCGGCTGCAGCCTCGCCGCCAGCGCCGCCTGGCTCGCCCTCGTGCGAGTCGGACGCCTCGCCCGCCGCCGCCGCCGACGGCCCTGCCTCTCCTGCCGCCGCCGCCTGCCCGACCGCCCGCGCATACGCCACCGCCGCCTCCACCGCCGTGCCGAAGGAGCCGATGGAGACCTGCCTTCCGCCCGCCCTGCGCCGCACCCCGAAGCGGCCAGAGGCCTGCTCGAACACGCCCATGTAGCCGGCGCTGCTGTTGCTGGAGAGGTGCAAGCGCAAGCCCTCCGCCTCCACCACCACCGCTGCCGCTTGGCGCTCCGTCTCACACTCCATCTCCTGTACGGCTGCTGCTACGTCTCGCGGAGTTGATCGGAGCCGTGGCGGTTGCACCTCTCCAGCAACAGCAGCGCCGGCTACACGGATTTGCCCGCCAACGTCGACTGCTCTCGGTGCTGCTCAGACCTTTTGGCCAGACCTCGTCGAGCAGTGCATCTAGGACGGCTGGAGCTAGCATGGCTCGATAGAGCCGAGACCCCGTGTTGAGGCGGCGCTCCTGTGGGCGGCTGTGGAATCGGCAGATTCGACCTCAGATCTCCAGTATTCTCATCCCAGTGGATGGACGTCCGGACGTCCCTTCGTGTTCCTCTCGCCGTCCGCCAGCGAGACGCTCTGTCGCTGGCGGCCGCAGTTTTCTGTGACCCACCCACCTCTCCCTTGTGTTTTGTCTGGGGAGGGGCTTCTCCTGCGGAGTCGTGCGTGCGCAGGGCTCCTCTTCGCTTTCTTCTACTCCCTACTATCATCTCGTTCCCGTCCTACCAGAGAAGAGAGCGCGCTGTGCGGGGGCGCGCATCAGAAATCGCATTTTTTCGCTGCTCAACACACTATAGAAGACGGAGCTCGCACGCGGGCAAATCTTCTCACTGCCCCGGCGCCCACGCCTCGATCTTCTTGGGAGGCAGCTGGTTCGACAGGTCCTCTCCGTGGCCTAGGCAGCCGCGTTTACCCTCGCCCCAGGAAAACACGGGGCCGCTGGCGGTGATGGCGAGGCTGTGGTATGTTCCCGCCGACACGAAGACGACGCGCTGGCCAGCAAAGGCCTCGATCTTCTTTGGCAGCGGCTGGGTCTGCTCGTCGCCGTGGCCTAGCTGGCCGTGGCCTCCATAGCCCCAGCTCCAGACAGCGCCGTCGGCGGTGATGGCGAGGCTGTGCAAATCTCCAGCCGACACAGCGATGACGCGCTGCCCAGCAACGGCCTCGATCTTCTTGGGCAGCAGCTGGTTCTGCTGGTCGCCGTGGCCCAGCCTGCCAGAGCTTCCCAAGCCCCAGCTCCAGACAGCGCCGTCAGCGGTGATGGCGAGGCTGTGCAAATCTCCAGCCGACACAGCGACGATGCACTGGCCCGCCAAGGCCCCAACCTTCTTGGGCAGCAGCTGCGACTCGTGGTCGCCGTGGCCCAGCTTGCCAGAGCTTCCCTGGCCCCAGCTCCAGACGTCGCCGTCAGCGGTGAGGGCCAGGCTGTGGTATCCTCCACCCGACACGGCGACGACGCGCTGGCCAGTAAAGGCCTTGACCTTTTTGGGCACCAGCTGGTGCTGCGCGTTGCCATGGCCCAGCTGGCCAAAGGCTCCACCGCCCCAGCTCCAGACGGCGCCGTCGGCGGTGAGAGCGAGGCTGTGCATGTCTCCAGCCGACATGCTCACGGCGCGCTGGCCAGCCAAGGCCTCGATCTTTTTGGGCTGCCACTGGTTCTGCTGGTCGCCGTGGCCCAAGCAGCCATAGGCTCCATCGCCCCAGCTCCAGACAGCGCCGTCGGTGGTGAGGGCGAGGCTGTGGCCACTTCCAACCGACACGCTCACGGCGCACTCGTCACCCGGCGTTGACGGGAGGCGGGTCGGCGTGTTGAGCTGCGTCACGCCCTCGCCGTGACCGAGAAGGCCTGGTGATTCCTCCTCCTCGTCGTCTTCCTCCTCCTCCTCCTCCTCCCCGCCCTCCGCTGCCGTTCCGCACGACGAGAGCCGCCCCTCGCCGTCGATGAAGACGCTGTGCCGTTCGCCTGCTGCCGCCCTCGCCGGCCGGTTGGACTCGTGCAGCAACGCCGAAAAGCACAGCCACCGCACGGCGCAGCCCTCGCCCGCTGGCGGCGGCGGCAGCTCGAAGCCGCGCTCTTGCGCCCACAAGCGGATGCCCTCCTCCGCAAGCGAGGCGTGGAAGAGCAGCGAGACGGCCGCGACGCGAGCGATGTCGATGGGGCTGTTGAAGCGGGAGAGGACGCGCTCGAGGAGCTCCCTGGGGAGGTCGAGGAGCCGGGCGGGCGGCGGCGCGTCTGGCGAGGGAGCGGCGGTGGCGGCGGCGGCAAGGCGGCGCGAGCGGCGGCGCGGCGGGGTGGACATCGCGAGGAAAAGAAAGGGCGCTGCGCGTGCGACGCACACCGCCACGTTGCTCGGTTGCTCGGAGCGACTGCGCGCCGTTCGCGAGCGGGGGCGAGGTCGCCGCCGCTGCTGGCTGTGAACGCTCCCGGACGCCTTATTTGGCCCGCACCCCCACCCACCCGCCACCCGGACCCGGGCCAGCGCCCAGAGGTGAGGGGGGTCGCGGAGCTATGAATCGGAGATCGCCGTACAACTGCCACGCCGCTAACGCTTCCCAAACACTCTCGTACCGTCGATTGCACAGGCGTGTAGACGCTATTGTGTATTGACTGGCCAGTCAGTCGCCCTCACTCAGAGAGAGAGACCTCAGAGGTAATCGTGACGACACAGGATCCACAGCTTGTGAGCCGCGTCGCCCGGGCGGAGAGAGCGCGCCACGCGCTGCGCCACACACGCTCCGCACAGCTCGCGCCGCCCATGCGCCCAGGAGAGAGCAGGGCGCCTTCCCACCAGCGGATTTTAATTTTTTTGGCGACGGTCCTTCCGGAGGCCGCGTTCCAGAGGTCATGAAGACCCTGCGCTCGACGGTTGTGCGTGCGGCTGGCAGTAGGCTGCTGAGCGCGCGTGCGGCAGCTGCGTCGGTGCTCGATGGCGCGGTCGACACCTCGAGCGCCTCCTTCCTCGCGAACGCCGCGCGGATGGACGAGCAGCTGATAGAGGTTCGCTCGGCGACAGCGGTGGCACACGAGGGCGGTGGCCCGCGCGCGCGGGCGCTGCACACGGCGCGCGGCAAGATGCTCGCGCGGCAGCGCGTCGAGGCCCTCCTCGACCCCGGCTCGCCCTTCCTTGAGCTCTCCCCGCTCGCCGGCCACGACCTGTACGGCGACGAAGCGGTGCCGTCGGGCGGCGTGGTGACGGGCGTCGGCTCGGTGAGCGGGCGACTGGTGATGATCGTGGCGAACGACGCGACGGTCAAGGGAGGGACCTACTACCCGATCACGGTGAAGAAGCACCTTCGCGCGCAAGAGGTGCAGAACAGACGCGTTCACACCTCCTCTTCACGCCTCCTCTTCACGCCTTCAGCCGCGATCGTCAGGTTGCGGCGCAGAACCGGCTGCCGTGCGTCTACCTCGTCGACTCGGGCGGCGCCAACCTGCCGCGGCAGGCCGACGTCTTCCCCGACAAGGAGCACTTCGGCCGCATCTTCTTCAACCAGGCGAGGATGTCGGCTGCCGGAGTGCCGCAGCTGGCGCTCGTCTGCGGCAGCTGCACCGCCGGCGGGGCGTACGTGCCCGCGATGGCCGACGAGGCGGTGATCGTGCGTGGCAACGGCACCATCTTCCTCGGGGGGCCGCCGCTCGTCAAGGCGGCCACCGGCGAGGAGGTCACGGCGGAGGAGCTGGGCGGCGCAGACGTGCACTGCAAGACCTCGGGCGTGACCGACCACTACGCGCTCGATGAGCCGCACGGTCTGAGGCTGGCGCGCCAGATGGTCGCCTCGCTCCCGCCCTCGCAGGGCGGGTCGCTGCCCCGCGCGGACGCGCGGCCGCCGCTCTTCGACCCGGCGGAGCTCCGCGGTCTGGTACCGGCGGACTCGCGCCAGCCGCTGCCGATGCGTCGCGTGCTCGCCCGTGTGCTGGACGGGTCTGAGCTGAGCGAGTTCAAGGCGGAGTACGGCTCGACGCTGATCACCGGGTGCCGGATCGCCGAGACGCAGCCGACACACCGCCGAGATGCAGCCGAGATGGAGGGAGGTAGGAGACGCCCGCCTGCACGGGCGAGAGGAGCGGCGCAGCGGCCCGCACACCGCGCGCGTGGTCGGCGCCTCTTCACGGCGGCGTGTCTCTGGTGTGGAACAGGTTTGGGTCCGTGCACGGGTACCGGGTCGGCGTCGTGGCAAACGACGGCGTGCTCTTCTCCGAGTCGGCGCAGAAGGGGGCCCACTTTGTGCAGTTGTGCGCGCAGCGCGGCATCCCCCTCCTCTTTGTGCAGAATATCACCGGTCCGTATCTCCCCATATCTGCCCATATCTCGCAGGAGCGACTTCTCCTCTCGCCCAGTAAGCTGTCCGTATCTCCCCATATCTCCCCACATCTCCCCACATCTCCCACATCTCCCCACATCTCCCCACATCTCCCCACATCTCCCCACATCTCCCCACATCTCCCCACCTCTCGCAGGCTTCATGGTGGGCAAGGCTGCCGAGCACGAGGGCATCGCCAAGCACGGCGCGAAGCTGGTCAACGCGGTCGCGACCGCCAACGTGCCAAAGCTGACCGTGGTGGTTGGCGGCTCGTTCGGCGCGGGGAACTATGGCATGTGCGGCCGGGCCTACTCGCCGCGGTTCATGTTCATGTGCCTAGAAGCGGAATACGTATTCTTGTGCTCCAACTAGCGCCCGAGAGGACACGTATTCACGCGGTGCTCTGAACACACTGCACAATACCGTATTCGTGCCCTGAAGTTGGCGTATTCAGCACGTAGGTTCATGTGGCCAAACTCGCGCATCGGCGTCATGGGGGGCGAGCAGGCCCGGCCGCGCCTGTTCACAGCTAGAGGTGTGAAGAGACGCTGTTCACGCATTGGCGTCATGGGGGGCGAGCAGGCGGCGGGCGTGCTCTGTCAGGTCAAGGAGGCGCAGGCGGCGCGTGCGGGCGCGCCGCTCGACGCGCGGCTTCACGGCTTGAGCCTTTGACCGGCGCCTCCTCACGGCGGCCCGGTGTGTCGTCAGGCACGCCGCTCGACGCGCCGGGCCTCGAGAAGTACCGCGAGAGCATCCGCGGCCGCTTCGACGGCGAGGCGAACCCTCTGTACGCGACGGCGCGCCTCTGGGAGGGGCGGGGCACGTCGCGAGGGTCGCCGAGATTGCCCGAGCTCACCCGAGATTGGCTCCACCTCAGGCGCGCCTCTGGGACGACGGCATCATCGAGCCCGAGTCCACCCGCGACGTGCTCGGGCTGGCGCTCGCCGCGGCGGACGAGGCGCCCGTCGAGGAGACGCGCTTCGGCGTCTTCCGCATGTGAGACGGGGGGGGGGGGGGGGGGAGGAGTGGAGAGGGCACTTTTGGAGTAAGCAGCGATTGTCCCGCGCCGGGAGATGCGCAACGATTGCCGGAGAGAGACGGCGGCCGCGTCCCCGCGAGGGAGAGTGAGCGGGGTTTTAATTTCCCAAGAGAGATACCGATAAGTGCCTCAAGAGCGGCGCGCAATACACCGCAATTTGCAGGAAAGCTCAACAGCGCGCTCGTCGTGTGAGCGCGGGCCGCGAGATTAACGATAAACCGCAAGTATCCGCTCTCTATCGGTTTCGCAGCAGCAGCCCCTGTGGCGGGATCCGCTCGATGGCCGCATCGAGCGCCCCGTAGATGCCTCGCAGCTGCTGGGCCGCGCCGCTGTCGACGCCGTGGTGGGAGGGCGTGAAGGGCGGGAAGTGGCTGCGCGCGGCGAGCGGCACGTCGAGGAAGTCGAGGATCGACGGGACGGACGCGTTGAGCGTCTCGTACCGCACGACGAGGATGTCGGACGTGCAGCGCGGCGCGCGGCAAGAGAGCCAGGAGCGGAACTGGGCCATGGTACCGAAGAGGTCGGCGCCTGCGCGCGGCCGCGGG